GGATGTCGTCGAGGTATACAAACACAAACCGGTTGACCATGTCTCTGAGCACGTCATTGATGAGCGCCTGGAAGACCGCGGGGGAGTTAGAAAGTCCAAAAGGCATGACCAGATATTCAAAGTGATCTGTAGGGGTGTTAAAGGCGGTCTTCCATTCGTCCCCCTTCCTAATCCGAACTAGGTGATAAGCGCTGCGTAGGTCTAACTTCGTAAAGATGGTTGCCCCCTGTAAGAGTTCAAAGGCCGAAGACATCAGCGGCAAGGGATGACTATTCTTGACCGTGATGTCATTCAGCCCCCGATAATCACCGCTTTACGATTCTCCGGGGTGGGCCAATTAGCAACCGCTTCTACTTTGACAGTGTCCATTTGAATGCCCTCGGGGGACAAAATAAACCCCAGGAACGGAACTGACCGTGCATGGAACTCGCACTTCTCCATCTTGGCGATTAAACGATTCTCTAGAAGCCGCTGTAACACTCGCCTGACGTGCTGGACATGATCACGCTCGTTCTGGGAGAAGATCAGGATGTCGTCGAGGTATACAAACACAAACCGGTTGACCATGTCTCTGAGCACGTCATTGATGAGCGCCTGGAAGACCGCGGGGGAGTTTGAAAGTCCAAAAGGCATGACCAGATATTCAAAGTGACCTGTAGGGGTGTTAAAGGTGGTCTTCCATTCGTCCCCCTTCCTAATCCGAACTAGGTGATAAGCGCTGCGTAGGTCTAACTTCGTAAAGATGGTTGCCCCCTGTAAGAGTTCGAAGGCCGAAGACATCAGAGGCAAGGAATGACTATTCTTGACTGTGATGTCATTCAGCCCCCGATAATCAATACAGGGAAGGAGCGAACCATCCTTCTTCTCCATGAAGAAATACCCCGCCCCAGCTGAAGAGGAAGAAGGACGTATGATACCGGCTAATAGGGAATCATTAATATATTTCTCCATGGCCTCCCTCTCAGGACCGGAGAGCGAATAAAGACGCCCCTTAGGCGGAGAAGTGCCAGGTAATAAGTCTATCGCACAGTCGTACGGGCGATGCGGAGGAAGAGATGAAGCTCGGGACCTACTGAATACCGCCCTCAAGTCATGGTAGGCCTCCGGAACATCTGCCAGGTTCACCGGCTCCTCCTGTAACACAGAGTCAGACATTACAAGGGGTGAAGCAGACACCAAACATTGAGACAGACAAAATGGGCTCCACTCTACTACCCTATGGTGAGCCCAATCAATAAGAGGGTTGTGTTTAGTAAGCCAGGTGTGCCCCAGAACTATTGGAGCGGAGGGAGAGTGAACAAGGAGAAATCGAATCTCCTCAATGTGATTGCCAGACGTGGTCAAGTGAACGAGTCCAGTGACAGATGTGATCCTGGTGAGCGGGGTTCCACAAAGTGTACTGGTGGAGATAGCTTCGGCTAAGGGAAAAACTGGAACCCTCCAGCTCCTGGCCAAATCGATATCCATAAAGTCCCCCTCTGCTCCAGAGTCAATAAGAGCTACAACAGGGTGGTTAACCCCCCCCCGACTGAAGAATGGCCTGGAAAGTAGTGTGGCCGCCAGAGGGCAGCAGAGCCTGCGCGACCATCCTACAGAGGGGGATTGCTTCCTGTGAGGGCAGACTGTGATGACATGCCCTGCCCCCCCACAGTAGAGACACAACCCGTTGGCAATCCGATGGTGGCGTTCCCGGGCAGTGAGGTGAGTGCAGCCGATCTGCATCGGTTCCTCCTCAGAGAACCTGAGTAGTGGTGGTATGACGCTCCTAGCGCCAGGTGAGCGATCAGAACTCTCGTGCCCGGTCTCCATACGGAGGTGTTGAGCTCTAAGTGCCAGGCGGAAATCAACCCGAGTGGCAAGTTCGACCAGCCCATCGAGTGTAGTGGGCAGCTCCAGGGAGTATATCTCATCCATGATGCCTTCTGCCAGTCCGTGGAGGAAATGGTCCCACAATGCCTTGTCGTTCCAGCCACTAGATGAGGCGAGTGTGCGGAACTCGATGGCATAATCCGACACTGGCCTGGTTCCTTGACGCAGCAGAGAGAGTGCTCATGCCGCTTCGTTACCCAGAGCCGACCGGTCAAAGACCTTCCGTAGCTCCTGGGAGAAACTAGTGTAGGAACTGCAGCATTCGCTCCTATTGTCCCACATAGCCGTTCCCCATTCTCTAGCCACCCCAGCCAGATGCATTATCACAAAGGCGACCCTGGAACTCTCAGTGGGGAAACAGGAAAGCTGTAGTGAGAAGGTCAGGGAGCATTGTGATAAGAAGGAACGGCATGAAGTGGGCTCACCCACGTATGGAGCCAGAGGATTAAGGCGGGGCTCGGATCGGCGTGACGCGGGTGCCCCTTCCTCAACCGACGCAGCAGCCGCGCGACCCGCCTGCGGGCTGATCTGAACCTGGTCGAGGCGCTGGGAGATCGCGGCGATCTGTTGTGACATGTTAGTCATGGCTTGATGAGATGCAGTTATCTCCTCCTGTTGACGTCCTAGGAGGATGCCTTGCTGAACGACCGCTCGGCGGACTTCCGTATCTTCAGCTGAGTCCATAACTGGTGGGTATGTTCTGTCAGAGAAGGAACGGAGGACTCAAATGCAGTTCAAACCAAAAGAGACTTTATTCTGAACACCAAGCCAGCAAAGGCGTGAAACACAAAAGTCAGGGGAATGCAGTGGTGTGGCGCTCCCTGCGCACACATTCACCAAGACAGAGGGCTGAGAGGAATACTGGAAACGTCCAGTGTCGTACTCCCAATCCGGCCTCACTGTCCACAGCCGCGATACTAATTCCTCGCCTGAGGATCCTGGAAACAGTGCAGAGAGTGTAGAGGAGAGTGAAAACTCAAAAGCGCGCCCATACGGCACATAAGGACATAAGACATACCCACGCCGAAAAAAAGACAAAGACAGGAATATATAGGAAGTGGGAACGAGTACCAGGTGCGGGCTAATAGAGCACGCAGAACCGTGAGTGAGTGATGAAAATGACAGGACCAAAACAACCACCACGTGCAAATGACAACGACAGCGCACAGGTGAGTGGCAGAAAGGAGTCGGAGAAGGTACCGGTACTGACAGTGTTGGTGTAATTCTGTTCTCTTTCAGATATCTATCTATGAGGAGATTCCCCCCTTCCATGTAAAGCGCTTTGAGTACCCAGGAAAGCTCTATATAAATGTAACAAATTATTATTATTATTATCAATGAAAAAATGAATATATTTCTACTGTAAAATTTTGGGTAATATTAAACCCTGTTATACCCTATATCACTGTTCGCAGTGGTTGGGGATTGTTTGACTTGCTTGGTACGTTCGCGTACTGGTGCACGTCAGTTCTTTGTGTGGGCTAAATTACCCTTGACTACTGTTCGCAGTTTGTGGGTTTTATTTTGGATCTTCAGAGTATGTTCGCTTACTAGTGAAGGTCAATTTTTCTAGTTGCATTTAATAAACCCTTACTAATGCCACGATCAGTGGGGGTTGGTATAAGCCTTCTGAGTACGTTCGCGTACAGGTGAAGGTCATCTTTTTGTTGGCTTTGATACTGCAGTTGCAATAGCGACCATGTCATCTCAGTGCTGCCGGTTTTGTCAATCAGCAATGGACCCCCGTGATGGACACTGGGATGCCCCTCATGTCTAGGGATTGCTCACCTGACAGGGGATATGGATAATCCTTGCAGTACAGATTGTGAGAGTGGTCTAAGGTGCTGGATTAGGCTCCAGTCTCTTGGGGGGCGTGGGTTCGAATCCCACTGCTGCCAGCAGTGGTTTAACCAAGGCCGGGAGGCCCTGCATGTACTTGAAAAAGGAGCATGCTTTCCCTGGCAGCAGCCAGGCCCGCCAGAGACATGCGAGTCAAACAAGATGCGTTGTCCTCTCCCACAGCCGATCGCCTGTTTTCTAAGGCAGGGTGACTCAGTCCTGCTCCTGGTCCCCGTCCTGTCTAGAGAGGAACGACTCTGTCATGCGAACCGGATTCGCAGCATGGTAGAAAGAGGGAATGCTCTTTAGGTGGTCATGATCATCAGTGCACTCGCAAACATTGCGTGACCACCAGTATGACTACAATTTCAAACCAACAAGTCATAGGTGTGTGGATAAACCAACCACTGCTCCACCAACAGAAAGTACAAATGTACATCTTAAGATTCTGACTACTCTTCAGAGCTTATCTCAGAGAATGGACAGATTTGAGGCTCATCATTCCTTTTTCTGATTCATTTCTTCCCCCGGCCAGGAAAGCATTCCGCCACCTGTGCCTCGGGGAGAAGAGGCCGTAGATGAAGATGTGCTGCCTATTTTTGCCCCCAACTCACTGTTCGATAGTGGGCATCAATCAGAATCGGGAGACTCCCATTCAGATGCTGCAGAGGTGAGGAATTACCAGGGGCCTCATGTATAAACGTTGCATATGCACAAAATAGAAATGTGTGTACGCTGTTTTCCACGCACGTATCTGGATTTATAAAAATGCTCGTTAACCAGTAGACACTGGATTTGAGGATATGCCACCAGATGAGCAGGCAATAGCATCATGGACAGCTTTGGGACTGGCCCCTGTCTTGGCTAATCCATGCTGTCCTGGCAAGGAGTGTACTAAGGCTGACTGCCTGATTTCTCACTGTTTATGCTGCTGCACATGCAGCTCATATGGGTAATGCTTTGGTTATTCTCCTGGCGGCCTTATAGAAAACAGTGTGTGTGGAAGATCAAGATTCCAAAATGTTAATTGATTCGGCTTTGGTAGCACATTCACAACAAACACGTGATGTAAGTGAGGTTATGTCATCAGCTGTCTTATGTCACAGGCAGATATGGCTGGCTCAGACTTCTTTGCCATGAGGAGCAAACTGATGAATTTACCAGTAATGTCTGGTCATGTCTTTCATCCAGATTCTCAGGACATTTTGGACAGACCTGAGCATTCATACATTGAAGGAGACTGTTCAAAGGGCTTGCGGCAATTCCCCGGCCTTTAAACAGGTTTAAAACACCTCAAAGGCCGCAATGGCCTGCCTGATATTGACATGATGTGGTGGCCCTGCTGGTGTCCAAGAACAAAGCTTTCATATCAACAGTCAGATTCCCACCTCACTTCCCCGAAGGGTTGTCCATGGTAACTCATGGGTACCAACTGCAGATTTACCTCCCTTTTCAGGGGTCCAAATGACTATTGTCAAGGATACCCTTTTTGGAGCCAGTATTGGTGGAGGAAGTTCAAAGTGTGTTGAAAAAAAGGAGCCATTTCAGAGGTGCCTCCCAGCGCACAGCAAAAGGGGGTTACTTCACACTTGGGAAAAAATGGGTGGTTACCGGCCCATTCCCAACCTCATGAGTCTCAAATAATACTTAAAGGTACTCTCATTCAAAATGATTCACCGAGAGTATTACTCGAATGGTCTCAGGCCTTAGCCCCCCTTCAGTTACAGGGTATCAAAATTCTTCCATATCTAGACGATTGGTTGATCTGCATCCCCACTCTAAATCAAGGAGTAATGGACACGGAGAAAGTACTGGCCCATATTCAATCCCTTGGTTCCACTGTAAACTGGAAGAACAGCAGTCTTCAGCCTCAACAACAAGTGAACTTTCTCTGGATCCATTTTGATTCTGTGACAACTAATGCACGTCTCACCTCAGAGGGCCAACAGTCTGGGAAAAGCATTAAGACATTTCCAGTCAGGAAAACTGACTGCGCAGGTGAATGCGCACAAATTACAGAAGTTGTTTTGGCTGATAGCAGCAGCATCAGTGGTGATCCTTCTGGGCCTGTTGAAAGCGCATGACACACAGTGTTGGTTTAATTTATTTCATCTCCATCCAATAAAGACAAAGGAGTAAAGCTGTTGGTGACACAGTTCTGCATGAAGGCCATGGTTCCAGACCTGATTCGACTGATACAAGGCTGCCCATGGCAGCTGCCAGCTCGAACGGATCTTCTGTCACAGACAGACGGACAGATTTGGCATCCAAACCTGACTGCTCTGCACTTGTGGGTATGGTCTCTGTGGAGTCTGTCTCTCAACAGTCAGATGACACATGAGACACTGAGCAATACTAGAGTCCCATCTATTCGGGCCAATTACTCTCTAAGCTGGGAAAAAAAATTCAAACTGGTGTGTGAACACTAAGGTGGACTCAGTTCTCTGCCACTTGTCCTTCTTTTTTACAGTTTCAACTGGATCAAGGCAAGGCAGCCAGTACAAACAAGGGTTATGCCTTGGTTATTTAAGCATTTCATGAAGGGCCAATGACCAGCTATTAGGCCGACTTCCTTTAATAAGTAAGTTTCCAAACTGTTTGACCTGTGTCCAGACCGTACTCTGCGGACACCAAGTTTGGACTTGCCTCTTGTATTTAACTCTCTCACTAAGTCCCAGTATGGGCCTATTGTGAAAACAGATTGAAATATGTCTCTCTAAATGGATTTTAACTTGGCTCTCTGCTCTGCTAAGCAGGTAGGAGTGCTCTGTGCTCTCTCTGTTAGTGGAGATTGTTAGCGGTGGAAGGCAGATGGCACGGGAGTGTCACTTAGCCTAACCCTGCATTTTTGCCAAAAGTATTTAAGCCCCAGTTACAATTTAGGTACTGGAGGTGGTTCAATGTTAACCATTTCCTCACATGCAGAACAGGAGCAGTTACTTAACCTGTGTTCTTAACCTGTGTTCAGTGAGGGCATTGCGTACTATGTAATTGTACTCAGTCTTTGAGGAAAGCTAATCTTCAGCTTTTTGTCTACTACAGTAAGGCTAGGCAGGGGTTGCCGCTGTCTAAACAGCGTTTGTCACATTGGATAGTCAATGTTATTTCTTATACCTGTGCTGAAAGGGGGTTTTCGGTTCCTACAGGAATACGAGCCCAATCCCTCGATGAGCCACGATCCCACTGCACTAAGGAGTCTGTCTCTCAACAGTCAGATGACACATGAGACACTGAGCAATACTAGAGTCCCATCTATTCGGGCCAATTACTCTCTAAGCTGGGAAAAAAAATTCAAACTGGTGTGTGAACACTAAGGTGGACTCAGTTCTCTGCCACTTGTCCTTCTTTTTTACAGTTTCAACTGGATCAAGGCAAGGCAGCCAGTACAAACAAGGGTTATGCCTTGGTTATTTCAGCATTTCATGAAGGGCCAATGACCAGCTATTAGGCCGACTTCCTTTAATAAGTAAGTTTCCAAAGGGAGTTGACCCGTGTCCAGACCGTACTCTGCGGACACCAAGTTCGGACTTGCCTCTTGTATTTAACTCTCTCACTAAGTCCCAGTATGGGCCTATTGTGAAAACAGATTGAAATATGTCTCTCTAAATGGATTTTAACTTGGCTCTCTGCTCTGCTAAGCAGGTAGGAGTGCTCTGTGCTCTCTCTGTTAGTGGAGATTGTTAGCGGTGGAAGGCAGATGGCACGGGAGTGTCACTTAGCCTAACCCTGCATTTTTGCCAAAAGTATTTAAGCCCCAGTTACAATTTAGGTACTGGAGGTGGTTCAATGTTAACCATTTCCTCACATGCAGAACAGGAGCAGTTACTTAACCTGTGTTCTTAACCTGTGTTCAGTGAGGGCATTGCGTACTATGTAATTGTACTAAGTCTTTGAGGAAAGCTAATCTTCAGCTTTTTTTCTACTACAGTAAGGCCAGGGAGGGGTTGCCGCTGTCTAAACAGCATTTGTCACATTGGGTAGTCGATGTTATTTCTTATACCTATGCTGAAAGGGGGTTTTCGGTTCCTACAGGAATACGAGCCCACTCCCACGATGAACCACAACCCCACTGCACTAAAAGGAGTTCTGTGGGAGATATTTGTGTGGCAACTTCATGGTCTACTACATCATGTACACTATTGAGATTTATAGAATTGATGTAACCGTGCAGCACCTGTGAGCACTGCAGTTCTGATGTCTGTTGCCCAGCGAGATTTAGGAAACTCTAATTCTTCTGTTCCTCATGACCCTTTTGGTATAGGTCATCCTATTAAGACCGTAGTGACGGTCAGAGTGAGGTCGAAACAGATTGTAAGTTATGAATATAACTATGGATCTGCGAGACCGAAGGATGATTCCTATCCTTGTCGCTCAGAACACTAGGCGTTCAAGGTAAGAAAATGAGCCGGACGTTTATCCCGCTTTTTATAGTGCGGAAAGCTCCGCCTCCAGGGTCATGGGCATGACTTTGTTTACATAAGGTCTCGAGAGAAGGCGGAACGAAGGTTATCATTCTATTAAGACCGTAGTGACGGTCATCCTTCGGTCTCACAGATCCATAGCAAGTGAAAGGCACTGACTTGATAGTCCAGTGCTACTTGTGTCACATTTTTCAGCTTGTCTTTGATTTGCTGAGATTTGGAAGGGATTAGAAGTTCCTCCACCTCGTTGGCTGAGAGACCTGCCTTTAATCCTGCCTGTGCAAAACAGAAAGGCAAGCCTATTGTTAACACACTATTTTATCAAACAATAGTTTGTTTTATTGTCTTTCCTACTGGTTTATTATAAACAGATATGCCAGTCTCTGTCTTGACACTAAAATGAAATTTCTTCATGCATATGGTATGGAGTAATAATTTAAAGATTATCATGTAAATGTATTCCATTTAGTTAGTGACTGTTTTTCTTATTTAGTTTGATTTAATTTCTTAATCTTGGATGCAGGATATCTCAGTGAGTGTGGCAGGGTGGGTAATGTCCTGATGAGTGCACCAGATATTCTTCCAGAGCTCTCTAGACACCCTTTCCACCAGCACGCCGCTCTCTTTTTCTTTCTCATCTACAGCTGTCACAAAACGCATCACATTCAAAGTGCCTTGGTTGGAAAGAAAGAAAAAGAGATGTGATAAACCTAAATAACCACTGAATATTTACACACAAATGCAAAAGACTTTTTAATTTTTAAATAAACTTTTAAATAAACAGAAAGACAGTTTATGCTTTATTAGATTATAAAAACAATCTAACATGACAAGTTTAATGCCAAATAGCACTGCTTACATGCCCTTGTAATGGACTTAACTGGCAGGGAAAAATCTTTTCCCGTAAGTTTACAATAAAAAAGTCCAGCATTCTTCTTCTATTTAAGTTTGTGAAATCAGCTTAAAGCATGGCTTAGATTCATAAGCCATCATAAAGAGAAATAGTGGTTTGAATACCTTTTTTACAAGGCAAAGGTGGATTCACAGGGACTCCAAAGAACTCAGACAGCTGCTTCAAATCTGTGACCATGTAACAAAACTTATTTTGGACCAATCCAGGTTTCTGGTTACCTAGAAATAAAGCAAAAAGGTTTTGTGACATTGTGAAGAATATCTCAACAAAAACAACAAATTGTTTGGCATTTACCTGAACCATGAAAGACTCCTCCTAAAAATGCCGGTTTGAATTTGAGGTCGATGTTCCAAAAATTTCTATAGCGACACAGCACCTTAAAACACAAAATCAACACATGCACAGTACTGACACTGCATTTGCACCGAAGGCATGGCAATGAATATACTAAGGATGAAAAAAACATTACCAACCTCAAATGCCAGCCAGGAATAAGTAGAGATGACATCACAGTACAACTTGACCACTTTTCTGGAATTGGACATCTGTTATAAATAATCACAATATTCACAAATCCAAACACATAAGTATGGACTACAATATACAGTATATTACAATATATTATAATGGCATTTACAGGCATGAGGGCACAATACCTTTGCTGTGTTCTTATTCTTGTTCTGATTCCTTTAAACGGAGAAGGGTGTAGCTGCAGGATGGAGATCTCTAAGGGATAGGATCTACAAAGAAAAGACATAGGCAAACCCTACCCCTAACCTTAACTGTCTGTCTTGTACCCTCCCTTTTAAACTTTCTCCAAACCTGTTTGGAATTCTTTTTCCTTTTTTGGAAACCACTTGTCTTCCACCATGTCTATGTGTTTAATGGTGGTTGGCAAACCAGCTTAGCTGGGATCACTATGTTTCATGTGCTTTAAAACTCATTAGCACATGCTGTACAGTCTGGGAGTTCAGACATACGATACCTTTCTGACTAATGTTCCCAATTCAAAGAAGTGACTGGTTTTACCCTCGGTGACCCGGTCTCATTGTTGTACTTGTACCCTCAGCGAAGAGAAACCTTGTTAAAGTTCAATGCAGTTAGAATGAGAGACAAATCAAGATCCACTATTTATGGCAGAAGGCCACTCATTAGTTATGGTAGCTTAACAACCATTATTAATATAACATATTATGAACAAACTTCACAATAAACAAAAACAAAACTATTCTTGGACTCAATAACTTAATCTAATACAATAGATCTTAATCGGGGTTGAATTGTTTTATATTTAATTGAATTTTATGTGGATGAAAATAAGCCTGTGAAAACACACACTGTAGAATGGTCCTAGGCCCGATGTAATTTTCACATTCAACTTTTAAAACGGTTTTATGGAGTTTTGTCTACCGAGTTATTTTGAAAAGAGGTTTCTTCACCTGAACTGTTTTGAGACTTTAACCTTGTAAAGCCTACATATCGTATTTGATACACATATTTCTAAAGCCTCTAAATTATTAACAAGACAAAACTTTGCTGAAAAACCTGTTGTACACAGTCTTCTACATGCCTTCTGTCTGATAGCTTACTTAATATAGTATACCATAGTAAGTAAAAGGCCTTTTAGTATAATTATAAAAATGTCCACCTTCAGGTTCTGGTACGTGTCAAATGTTAACTTAAAATATCTTTTTTTTCACACCCAGAAAATGTAAAAGCATGAGAACTTTCACATTACATGAGGACACGGGGGTCAGTGGGGTTGTTTGGGTTTACAATCTGATTTTTATAAGACCTTATTTTAAAGAATTATTACACTCTTAAAAATAACGTTTCTAAAAGGGGGATTTTGTAGTGATGAAATAAATGAACCATTTTGGATTCTACAAAGAGCCTTTTCTGTGATCAGTTCTTTAAAAAAAAACAAAACAAACAATGTGAAATTTTTTAAATAATATAAATAAACTTTTTCCACTATAAAGAACCTTTTGTGCAAGGGAATGGATTCCACTGATGTTAAAGGTTCTTCATGACAATAAAGAACCTTTATTTTTTGGAGGGTATATGCTTTATGTTTGTACATATGTATTATTTAGACCTCAACTTTACTATTTCTGTATTCCTGGCTTATTTTTCAGCTCTTTTTTTTTATTGTGTGTGTGTGTGTGTGTGTGTTTGCTGTTGAATAAAAAACAACGTGAATTTACAGTACTTTAAAATTGTATTTAGAAGTTGTTCAGATAGACATAGTATGGAGGAGTAGTGATCACATCTGGGCTGTAGGCTTGTCAGGGTGAGGCCCCACCCACTTCTCTCCTAGAACACACAGCCAGAAAAGAAAATGATTGCACAATGAACAGTGTGTCACCTAAGATTTTAACACCCCAAGGTTAGATAGGAATTTATGGTTTAAAACATCACACAGCACAATAAATGATACATATAATATGGTATAATATATATGGTAAGTATAAAAAATACAATTATATATATACATATGTGACCCTGGACCACAAAACCAGTCATAAGGGTCAATTTTTCGAAATTGAGATTTATACATCACCTGAATCTCAGTCTCACCCTTTACTAACAAATGATCTATTACACAAATTAGACATTACTAGAGATAAGCAATTCCTTTGTTGTAGAGCCTATATAAGCTCTACATATACATGTAAAATAATAATACATTTTCTGTACCGGCCAAAGTGCGTGTTCAGTGCGCGTTCAGAGCTGTTCGCGAGAGTCACGAGCAAACCATTGACGTTTCTATGGTAACGTACAGCTCCTGCACTCAGATTCGTAGCTTTGTGGTAATAGCGAAAAGAAAGATTTTTTGAACAGCAGAAAAAGTGTAAAAGTATGTAAAAAAAAAAAAAAGTGACAGGCCTGAAACATATACTTTGAAACATTTCGCAAGTAACATTTCGTTACTTTCGCTTTTTCCGCGCAGCTTTCTTTGGGTGGGACTGTTAGCGTTATTGATAAAGGAACGTGGATGAATGAGACAGTACCCAGCAAGCAATAGCCGTCATTTCAACGTCTCGGTTAAGTATAGACCCGATATAGTCCGGCTATGGGTAACATCTGGAAAAGATCGGGAGCAATGGTAAAAAACAAAAAACCTCTCCAAAACAACATTTCCTCACTAAAGCTCTCATCTTTGACAAAAGTCCATCATTTATTTTAATTATCATATTGAATTTATTACTGAACAATGGCTTGTTAGGTACAGAGAGAGCATGAGCTAATTGAATAGAATGTCTTTGTCATTGTACAAGTAACGTTACAATAAGATTTATTTTGAAACTTCCAGATTGATAGTAAAGCTTAAGAATACAAATAATAAGTGCAAATAGCTCAGATGTGTCAACGTCAGGCTCAGGCCATGGCGGTAGGGGAAGATCAGCTAAATTTCCATCCTCCTCTAAAGGTGTGGATTCATACTGCCTCACAGGAGGAGTGGATAACTGCAACGCTGGTGGTTGTGCAGGTGAGAGATTCTGACCTCTGGTTTCACTCGTTTGACTGGTTTGAAGGTCAGCTCGAAGGGGCTGAGCAACTTGAACTAATTCTCTGACTTCCGCACGGACTTCTCTCAGCTCCCTCAGGTCTGCCTGAAAAGCCTGATGAGTCTGCATTAATTGTGCATGCTCATGACGCAGGTGCTGTAGTTCACTGTCGTGTGCAGAGGAAATGAAACCAGCCGCTTGAGGCGAGGAGAAGGATGGCTGATGGAATTCAGCATGCTGTGGAGGCTGATAATTTGAGCACATGATTCGAGAGCCATCAGAACAGACCAGGTAACCAGCAGGAGTGGCGTAAGGCTGGAAGGATGGGGGGGGAGTCCGGTGGACAGGTGCCTCCCAGGGGTGTGGGACATCATACTCAGCGACAGGTCTGCCTCGGGTATACTGTACTTCATACTGCTGTAGGTAAGCTGGAGGACCTACACTGCCCTCTACCGAAGTACTATTACGACTCTAGTTTCATAATAAAGGTCCGTCTTACAGGAGCCTTTAATACAATAATATTTATATTTAAGTGTATTGTATTTATAACATTTTATTTAGTCATTAATTCTTTTGTATTTTTATCATTTTGTATTGTCTTAAGTTGTCCAAGTTGTTACAAATGTTATTTTTCTTATTAAAAGTTGTATATTTAATTTGTTTGGATGGATTGCCATTTTGTTGTCTATTAGATGTATATATGTAGGCTTTCATTAGCTGTCTATTTGATGACTAGTCTATTCTTGGGCTATGCGGACAAGCATAGTAGATGTGTCTTCGGTGGCGCGCCTAAAACGGTAAAAACGGGAGTGTCAAAATGCCTGCACTGGTGTGTATTCACATAAATACGGTCGGCACCGTGCATTATTTTTCACTCACTCAGTCTCTTACACACACGCTTGCGCACAGAGAAAGAGAGCGAGAACTCTGAAGAGAATTCATCCCTCTCAGGTTGTAAACCAACCTGCACAATCCCTGCATCATTTTTGAAGATTTGTTGCATATTTGTGTATTTTAGTTTCCACGGTCCTAATAAAGTTACTATTATTAAAACGTGATTGAAAACACACACACACACACACACACACATATATATATATATATATATATATATTATTATTATTTTGTATTTTTTTTGCTTTGGCTCTTTCGGAAAAATGCATTAACCAAAAATAAAAAAAGGTTTCCGACCCCTGGGATAGGACAATATTCGGCCCAGATACAACTATTTGAAAATCTGGAATCTGAAGGTGCAAAAAATCTAAATATTGAGAAATCGCCAATAAAGTTTTCCAAATGAAGTTCTTAGCAATGCATATTACTAATCAAAAATCAAGTTTTTATATATTTATGGTAGGAAATTTACAAAATATCTTCATGGAACATGATCTTTACTTAATATCCTAATAATTTTTTGGCATAAAAGAAAAATAGATAAGTTTGACCCATACAATGTATTGTTGGCTATTGCTACAAATATACCTGTGCTACTTATGACTGGTTTTGTGTGGTCCAGGATCATATATATATAGAGAGAGAGAGAGAGAGAGAGAGAGAGGTGAAATATCTATAGTACGGATGCACATTTTGGCAAATTGTTAGCACTGGCAAACAATAAGCACATTTTAACTGGTTAAAATGCTGACAAGCCATTAAAAACCCATTATAAAACGTGTGATCAAACAGACATGACCAAATAATTTTCTAACAAATCTTTGCTGTGAAAAAACACTGAGGAATAATAAGAATGCTTTCCATCATTTTGACAATAAGTAAATACATAAATAAATACACAAATAAATAAGATCACATAAAATATGTAAATTAACCAATGACGTTAGTCAAACAAATTGTTGGTTAATCAATTAATGAGTCTAAATCCCTAGTCAATAGTAGTTACCGATGAAATACGCCATGAGCTCAAATCTGTCAGAACCAAAGAACACTTTGGCCTTCCCGTTCACATGACACACGATAAACGGAAAACCAAAGCACTGCAAAAATGGGTAAAAACTGTGTAAGGGAAATTTATGATATTTTTACCACAAAGACATTTTGGTGGGAAAGACAAAGGGTACAGAGATGCACTGACTTTATACTCTAGTGTCTCTTCTGTGACACTCTTCAGCTTGTCTTTGATTGGCTGAGATGTGGAGAGAGTCAGAATTTCCTCCACCTCATTGGCTGAGAGACCTGCCTTTAATCCTGCCTGTGCAGAAAGACATTGGAGAATACTATTAATCATCATCTGACAGTTTACTTTATTGTCTTCACTACAGGTTTAGCATAGATAGATGTGTCATTCTCCATCTCTGTGCTAAAATATGACATTTCCTCAAATGTATGGAATAAAACGTTAAGGATTAAAATAAGTACTAGAGAAATTGTTTAATTCATCTTGATTTAGTTTCTTAATCTCAGTTATATGATACATCAGTAAGTGAGGCAGGCTGGGTAATGTCCTGATGAGTGCGCCACTTTCTCGTCCAGAGCTCTCTAGACACCCTTTCCAGTGTGTCTCCCTCTATTCCCTTCTCTGCTACAGCTGTCACAAAACGCATCGCATTCAAAGAGTCTAAGAAGGCAACAGATAACAGGAGAAAAAAGAGAATAAAAGAGATGTGATTCACTTAGAAGCACAAGAATATTCTTTCTTCAGACTGTAACAACAATCTAATTGCACTTACTTAAGTACATGCACTTTAGGGAAAAATGTTATAAAAATTTCAGTCTGGTCATGAGTACCATTGTAGAGAATCAGGCTTGAATACCTTTCTCAGAAAGCTTTGAAGGTCGAAACATTGGGACTCCAAAATACTCAGATGCCAGCTTCAGATCTGAGACCATGTAAATAAGCTTACTAGGGTTCACTACAGCAGGCTGGTTACCTAGAAAAAGAACAAACTTGGTAAGGTTTTCTGTCTTCACCTATAAAATTTTAAATTTTAATTGTTGAAACTGAAGTTTGGGACAGAGTGGGAACATACATGTTTCTAGCATGAATTAGCATGTTGCTAGCATGATTTTAACGTGAATTAACACATCGCTAGCGAGATTTTACATGAATTAGCATGTTGCAAGCATGATTTAACATGATTAGCATGTTACTAGCATGTTGCTAGCATGATTCTAGCATGATTAGCATGTCAGTAGCATGTTGTTAGCATGATTAACATGTTACTAACATTTTGTTAGCATGTTTTTAGCATTATTAGCGTGTTACTAATGTGTTACTAGCATGGCTAGCAAGTTACTAGCATGATTAGCATGTTACTAACATGTTGTTAACATGATTAAACAACTTACTAGCATGTTACTAGCATGGTTAACAAGTTACTAGCATGATTCTAGCATGATTTGCATGTTACTAACATTTTGCTAGCATGTTTCTAGCATGATTAGTATGTTACTAGCATGTTACTAGCAAGATTAGCATGTTACTATCATGTTGTTAACATTATAAGCAAGTTACTAGCATGGTTAGCAATTTGCTAACATGATTCTAGCATGACTAGCATGTTTCTAGCATGTTGCTTGCATGTTTCTAGCATGATTAGCATGTTACTAGCATGATTCTAGCATGATTAGCGTGTTACTAGCATGTTACTAGAATGGTTAGCAAGTTACTAGCTTGTTGCTATCATGTTAGTAATCATGTTACTAGCATTGGTGTTAGCATGATTCTAGCATGATTAGCATGTTGCTAGCATGATTGTAGCATGATTAGCAAGTTACTAGCATGATTAGCATGTTAACAGCATGTTGCTAGCATGATTCTAGCATGATTAGCATGTTAATAGCATGTTGTTAACATGATTAGCAAGTCACTAGCATGTTGCTAACATGATTGGCATGTTAATAGCATGTTGCTAGCATGATTAGCAAGTCACTAGCATGCAGCTAGCATGTTTCTAGCATTATTAACATGTTAATAGCATGTTGGTAGGATGATTAACATGTTACTAGCATGTTTGCTAGCATGATTAGCAAGCTACTTGCATGTTGCTATCATGGTTAGCATTGTTACTATCATTTTGTTAGCATTGTTACTATCATTTTGTTAGCATGATTCTATAATTATTTGCATGTTGGTAGCATGATTAGCAAGTTACTAGCATGATTTATCATTATTAACAAGTTACTAGCATGTTGCTAGCATGTTTGTAGCATGATTAGCAAGTCACTAGCATGTTGCTAGCATGTTTCTAACATTATTAGCGTGTTACTAGCGTGTTACTAGCATGTTACTACCATGATTCTAGCATGATTAGCATGTTACTAGCATGTTGTTAACATGATTAGCAACTTACTAGCATGTTACTAGCATGGTTAACAAGTTACTAGCATGATTCTAGCATGATTAACATGTTACTAGCATGTTGTTAGCATGTTTCTAGCATGATTAGCATGTTACTAGGATTTTGCTAGCATGTTTCTAGCATGATTAGCGTGTTACTAGCATGATTAGCATGTTACTAGCATGTTGTTAGCATGTTTCTAGCATGATTAGCATGTTACTAGGATTTTGCTAGCATGTTTCTAGCATGATTAGCGTGTTACTAGCATGATTAGCATGTTACTAGCATGTTGTTAGCATTATTAGCAAGTTACTAGCATGGTTAGCAATTTGCTAGCATGATTCTAGCATGACTAACATGTTTCTAGCATATTGCTTGCATGTTTATAGCATGATTAGCATGTTACTAGCATGTTGTTAGCATTATTAGCAAGTTACTAACATGGTTAACAAGTTGCTAGCATGATTCTAGCATGACTAACATCTTTCTAGCATATTGCTTGCATGTTTCTAGCATGATTAGCATTTTACTAGCATGGTTAGCAAGTTACTTGCATGATTCTATCATGATCAGCATGTTACTAGCATGTTACTAGAATGGATTAGCAAGTTACTAACATGTTGCTATCATGGTTAACATGTTACTAGCATGTTGTTAGCATGATTAGCATGTTAATAGCATGTTGCTAGCATGATTCTAGCATGATTAGCAAGTTATTAGCATGTTAACAGCGTGTTGCTAGCATGATTCGATGAATGATTAGCAAGTTACTAGCATGCTGCTAGCATCTTTCTAGCATGATTAGCATGTTAATAGCATGTTGCTAGCATGATTAGCAAGTCACTAGCATGTTGTTAGCATGATTAGCATGTTAATAGCATGTTGCTAGCATGATTAGCAAGTCACTAGCATGTTGTTAGCATGTTTCTAACATGATTAACATGTTAATAGCATGTTGGTAGCATGATTATCATGTTACTAGCATGTTGCTGACATTTTTCTAGTGTGATTAGCAAGCTACTAGCATGTTGCTAGCATGATTATCATTTTACTAGCATGTTGCTAGCATGTTTCTAGCATGATTAGCAAGTTACTAGCATGTTTCTAGAATGTTTCTACCATGATTAACATGTTACTGGCATTTTGTTTGCATGTTTCTATGCAAATACAGTTAAAACCAGCTAAACCCAGTTGATTCAGTAAAACCCAGCTAAAAACCAGCTAAAACCAGCTTAGGCTGGTTGCCTAGTCTTAGCTGGTTTAAGTTGAAAATATCTGGGTTAAACTTGGTTGGTCTTTTAGCAGGTCTCACAGCTTGAGCAGCTAAGACCAGCCTGACCAGCTAAAAAGTTGCCAAAACCACTTTAAAACCAGCCTGGGAGACCAGCCAAAGCAGCCAATCAGCTTAGGCTGGTTTTAGCTGTTTTTTCAGTAGGGAGTTTTTAAGCTTTGCTATGGCAGTAGACAGCTTAAATACACCATAAGTCTCATTGTATAAAAGTTTTCACACCCTCAATGAAAGTCTATGAGATTTTAGGTGGTTTTGATAGTCTGTTTTACGAAAACCATAAATTGGATCAGTTAGAAAAGATATAGCATACCGAGTCAGACCAGTCTGAAGGTCTGACCCGTGTTTGGTGGTTGTAGCTTGAAAGCTCTAGGAGGAGATAGTGTTTAAATTTTGTCTCAGAAGAAGAAGAATAATAAGTTTAAATAGTAGATCAGTAAGTTGGCTTTCTCAAGCCAACTTAAAGGGTTAGTTCACCCAAAAATGAAAATTCTGTCATTAATTACTCACCCTCATGTCGTTTCAAAACTGTAAGACCTTCGTTCATCTTTGGAACACAAATTAAGATATTTTTGATGGAATCTGAGAGCTGTCTGACCCTGCATAGACAGCAATACAACTGAAATGTTCCCAAGCCCAGAAACGTAGCAAGGAGATCTGTAAAATAATCCGTGACATCAGGAGTTCAACCGTAATTTTACGAAGCTACAAGAATACTTTTTGTGTGCACAAAAGAAAAAATAACGACTTTATTCAACAATTCGTATCCTCCTCGTCACCCTAGCGTCATTTTGGAGAGTATCTGTGAATGCGAGTTCCTTAACAAGTATTTGTGAATCGCAGGTGTTTTATATATGAGACGAGGACATGACTGCAGCCGGCAATGAGGCCCAAACCAGCACAGCCAGTGCAAGAAGGCTTAGGCTTTTTCATTTTACTTAACCTGCAAGAAGGCTTCGGCTTTTTAATTTTACTTTATTTTATTTATCCATTATACTGAAGATACCTTTTTTGAAAGATATTGTTTTTGTTTGTTTTGTAATTTTGAGGTGTTCAGTTTTATTTTGGTTTTGGTTTTGCTCTCCTCACAAATCAACTCTTTCTAGTTTTTGTTTCATGCTCTCTGTGCCTTGCCCTGGACTTTTATGTCACTTCCTGTCTCCCGTGGTGTTTGTAGTCAGTTTGTAGTCCATTTGTTCATTGGTTCCCCTTGATTAGTCTCCTCAGGTGTGTCTTATCTTGTTAAGCTTGTTATATTGTTGTTGTTGTGTATAAATAGCCCTAGTTTTTCTTTAGTTCCTTGTGAGTTGTTGAATGTAATGGTTGTCTGTTTGCCAGTCATTCTGTTCTTTGGTCACATTGGTTTTTGGCTTATTGTTTGTTCTAGTTTTTTCATTAAATACCAGCACATAGATCCTTGCCTCTGCCTGTTGTAAGGTCCACGCACTTGGCCCAATGAAGGTATCTAGTGGTGGATTAAGGTTTCTTGCGTGTTCGGTCTTTTCAGCGCGCAAAGTTATTCAATTTAGGTTTAACTCAAATCTGACTCCATTTTAGTATCTAATCTGACTCCATTTTAGTATGACCTCGAATTTAGGTTGAAAGGCAAATTGGTTGTTTGTCTGTCTTTAATTATTGCTATTATTCTGACATTTGGTTATTCTAGTTAACTCTTTACTTTATATTTACTCGTTCATTAGGAATCTATGTCGCTCAGGGTGCCTCACGGCGGCTGCTCTACATGGGCCCCACGATCACAAACTCGCCAGTCTGATCCTTAGCCAGAGGTTTATGACTAATACTATCTGTTTAGCCCCCTACAGTTACCTATGTACAACTTGGTTAAAGCTCAAAACAACAATCAGCGGTTCTGCTAGAACCCTTTGTCTAGCCCCCGATAGTTAATATAACTACGTACAACTTAATTAAATTTGAGACAATAACCAGCGGTTATGACCAGTAGTTAAAGCTCAAAACAATAATCAGCAGTTCTGCTAGAACCCTTTGTCTAGCCCCCGATAGTTAATATAACTACGTACAACTTAATTAAAGTTGAGACAATATCCAGCGGTTATGACCAGTCTGTCTCAGAAGATCAAAGTATCTGAGTTTCTTTAATCCTTACAGTTTTCCGCAGCTTCTCCACAACATTAGTTTATCACTGGCAAATCTCTTTGACAAGTGCATCTTTGAGCCTATATTTAATATAAGTAAAATACTTAAGTACTGTTAAAATCAGATACTCTAAGACTTTTACTCAAGTTGTTTTGGAATTGGTGACTTGTAACGTGTAGTGGGAGTAATTTTCACTGTAAGGTATCTGTACTTTTACTCAAGTATGGTTTTTAGGTACTCTTTACACCTCTGGTAAAGCCTACATATCGTATTTGATACACATATTTCTAAAGCCTCTAAATTATGTCTATGTTCTCAGCGGAGCGGTGTGCTTGTATACTTATATTATTACATTATTATTATACAAGAACTGTGTGAAGAGAGCATGCACAGCTGTTGTTTATATTGCTGTTTGTAGCCTGTGGAAGTAAGGTTAGCTGCAGCAAGGGTAAAAAAAAAGTAGTGTATTTTACAAATTATATTTCTGCTGTAACAAGAGTATTGCTCCCAGTAGATTTTCACATATATTTAATTATATAAGATAATACATACATTTACTGTCTGGAATATTTAAAAAGCTATGATTATTAATGTGACATTTATTTTAGTTGTGATCATGTATACCTGAGCCGTAAATGACTCCTGTTAAAAATGCCGGTTTGAATTTGAGGTCGATGTTCCTAGCATTTTTATAGCGACACAGCACCTTAAAACACAAAATCAACACAGCACCTTAAAACACAAAATCAACATATATGAGAATATCTTAAGCAGACTGTTTTGTCAACATCATCATAGAACAACTCGACCACTTTTCCAGAACTAAACATTTGTAATGAAGAAGCATTATATTATATTATTTATAACATTTACCAACATGAATAGGCCAGCATGAGAATAACTTCATTTCATTTTTCTTATAATGTAGGGGGTGGGATGGTTCAGATTCTAGAGTGCATTTGACTGGGGAGGAAACATGATGAGAAGGATCATCTAAAATGATTAAAATCATCAACATTATTGATCTTTATTGTAGAGAGAGACACGATATATCTTCTAAATGTGAATTTTTGTCTTAGTTTTGAATCGCACTACATTCTAGATAACCGTAAGGATAACCTTCATGCATGAAAAAGCCACAAAACTTTCAGTTTTGATTAAAAGTTCTTACCTGTTCTTAAATGTATAAACATATGAAAAAAATGTATATACCATACTGCAATTACATATATATTGGAATGTGATTTCTATAGGTGTTTGATATGAAACGGAAGGTAATGGAAAATGTCCTTGAAGGTCTTTGAATCTGGTGTTCATAAAAGAGTGAGAATCCTGGCTGACGTGCTGTGACTTTACCAGCTGCGTTTGGTTACATCATGGTTACAGTATTCTCAGTTGAAAAACTGGAATAATGTAATTTACATGCATGTGTGCAACTTACCCTTGGTGTTGTACTCTACTCCTATTTCAGGATATATTTCTTCTTATTCCATTGAATGGCGATTGTCAGATCAGTTTATGGTGTATTTCTGCCACCTACTAGACTGGAGTGTTAAGTGACAATGGAACATATCTTATAGGCTACTATCCAGTGGTCACACTATATTAATCTTTAGTGTAACACTGAAGACTGGAATAATGGCTGCTGAAAATTCAGTTTTGCCATTACAGCAATAAATTGCGTTTAAAAATATATTGAAAGAGAAAAACTTTATTTTAAACTGCAATAATAATTACAGTTTTTACAGTATGTTTTATTAAATTAATGCAGCCTTGGTGAGCAGAAGAAACTTTTGAACAGTAGAGTATATAGACATATTTCTTATATCTGTCTCCACAGCTTTTTTCCTCTCTTTTGAATTCAGGAAGTTTATATTGTAAGAGCAATGTGAATATATAGCATTTATACAATTTTATTTAGAAGTATAGGAGAGCAATGATCACATTTTGGATGTGGGTTTGTCAGGGTGAGGCCCCACCCACTTCTCCCCTGTAACACAAAAGAAAGACAACGATTGGACAATGAATAGTACATTTTAATATATTTTTATATTTTAATATCCCAAGGTTAGTTAGGAATTTATGGTTCAAAACATGATCAAGTGCAATAAACCACCAAGAAACCTGGGTACGATAAATATAGCAATTAGACTATAGTACAAATCCATGGTTACCGATGCAATGAGCCATGAGCTCAAATCTGTCAGAACCAAAGAAGAGCTCAGCCTTCCCGTACGCATGACACACAGTGGAAGGAAAACCAAAGCACTGCAAAAACCGCAGCTTCAAAAACAAGCCCAATATTCTTTGATAATTTATTATCATCAATATTATTTATTACCAATTATTTATTACAAAACTCAAAACTCATCTCCTATCACCTGTGAGCAGAATAGGATTGGACAGATGGAACAGGAGAAAAACACAAGAGCTTCAAAGAGGAGCTGTAACGTCCCACTGAGCAAAGGTACGTCCAAACGACGTCATTTCAACGTCTTTTTCATCGCTTGGATTACAGCGTCACCCTCATTGAAGAAAAATCACGTTAAAAAAGAAGGCGCGTGCGGAGGGGGCGGAATATTTGACAAATTACGCTACAGCACTTATATTTTTGCACTGATTGGCTATTAACTGTGAGCAGACAGAGTGTCAATCAATGCATTGGAGAATACAGTGAACATAAATTAAAAGAAACGAAGTTGCTTGTCAGGTTTTCCTAACAAGCAACCATGTTTTTTAAAATAAACCCAAATAACCGCAACCCACGACCCAGGATTTTTTCACGCAACTTTACAAAAAAAGAAGCCCAAAGTCGGGTATAATACGCGGACTTGGCAACTCTGGTCGAGCCGGTTCACAAATCGAACTGAATCGAACGTTAGTTCTGGGTTGATGATGCAGGACGCACAGCCGAAGTAGCACGTCCAACTCAAAAAGAACCGATTGAGCCGGTTCAACCAACTGTCGAAGTCTGCCGAGGATTACCGAGGACTCAACAAGAACCGACTGAGCCGGTTCAACCAACTGTCGAAGTCTGCCGAGGATTACCGAGGACTCAACAAGAACCGACTGAGCCGGTTCAACCAACTGTCGAAGTCTGCCGAGGATTACCGAGGACTCAACAAGAACCGACTGAGCCGGTTCAACCAACTGTCGAAGTCTGCCGAGGATTACCGAGGACTCTGAAACTGTGACCACAAAAACCATTATATGGTAATAATCAGCAATATGCTTTCACACAAATAGCTTTATTTCAATATTTAAGTATTTAAGTTTCAATATGTGTTGACACGAATGACTTATTTGAATTTTTCATTGATACAACATTGCACTGAGTTGTTAGAAAAGAAATGCGTAGAGACGTTATTGCTTGATGACGTCAGGAACCGATGAATCGGCTTTTTGTACCGGTTCAATGAGCCGATCTGTCCGAATAGAACCGGTTCGCGGAAATGAATCGGACTTTGCATCACGATCACTACTAGCAACGACTGTTTGAATTCCGTCAACTACAAAAAAGTGTATTTGTACGGATTATGAACGACGTTTAGGAACAACACAACTTGAAATAATCTTCGTCTCGAAATTGTGATGGACGCTGTCAAAACACTGCCTCGTGAAGCTTCGGATTCTTTGTGAATCATTTGTTTCGAACAAATGACTCGGAGTTCATCAAAGTCACGTGATTTCAGTGGCTCTGGTTTTTTTTAACCAGGGCTGCGTTCAGCCCGTTCAGCCCCGACAAAACGGTGCAAATGCAAAACGTTTTTTAAACGGAAACGGTGGTGCGTTGAACACTGTTCTGATGACGCAAGAGTTGCAACTATGGCAGCTGAGAAGGCCATTCTTTGTGTTCTTTTTGAAGAATTTTCGGAGCCTGATGAAATCGGTATAAATACGTGTTTAATACTGCAAAATACGCTCGATGTTGCTGATTGGGCTGACATTTTTTGACACACCCACCAAACAAGAGAAAATGTATCTCAAACCCCGTTGCACACCGTTTCCAGGAAACATGTCGTTCAAACCGGAAACCGTAGCAAAACGTTGTGCACCGGTTTGATCTTGAACTTGCCCCAGATCTCTGATCAATTTTCTGAATGTGTATAATAAAAAGGAATTGTTATAGATCTTAGTCTCCTATTGGTTTGATTAACCAAGCTCATCATGAAACAAACAAAACAAGCCCTACAAATTAATAAAATAACATATTAAACAGACACTTCATATTTAACGGTCTTAGATGATTTGTTAATTGGCTTTAATATATTACAAATTCAATAAAACACTTGCAATTAGTTTGTAAAAGGTGTTTTATGTGTGTTTGAGCTGATTATTTTTTTTGGTTGCAGTTCTCCAGCAGGCGTCACCAGCGTGTGGCGTTTTATAGCTCTTCAAAAAAAAATTGTTTTCTATTTTCCGAAGCAAAAGCTTCTTTCGCCCATCACTACTCCGAAGTAAACGAAGTTCATATATAACGGCATATTGCCTTCAATGGTTGGGGTGAGCCGCATGTAGAGTTTTGAAGTTAGTGAAGAAATTTGACGAACTTGTAGATTAGACCTTATGAAGTTAATAAGTAAAAGCAATAAAAATGTCTGGCTTATTTTTGATTAAAAACTAATCGCCAGGCAGGTTTGTTTGCACCATGCTTTGTAGTTACTGATAAACTTTTGCGGCAAGTTCCAAATATTTCAGGAGTGACTGAAAACTAAAAGCTCAACGCTGAGCTCCTGTATCAATCAGTGCTCCGCCCCTAGCAGCCACAGTGAAAGTTCCCGTCTGTTGAAGGGGTTGCCAGATATTCAGACGGTGACTGGTTCTTTTATTTAACTGTTATCTTCCTGAAAATGGGAAAATAAATTACGTTTATTATTATAGACCTCATAATAAAACCTGCAGTTTTTCTGGTCTTCAAATATCTTTTACAGTCCGAAAATTTAAAAAAATAACTCTCACATTACATGAGCACTTGTGGTAAAATGATAGGACTTTTATGAAACTATTTTTAAAAGACCATGAAGGTGTTTTGCATCTTTTATTGTATAGACAAAAAACTTATCAGTTGTCTCCTCCTTTTTTTCATCATAATTTACGGTTGCGTTTGTTATGAATATCTGGACTTGTCATCGGCATTTTCAATTTAATATCAGAGTCCAATATCCCCGGCATATACAAGTAGGCTACAAAGACGGCTCAAAAGATCCAGAACGTCAGATAACTGGGGCTGCTTTTTTAGTTCAAGATAGTGGGAATCAGTGGATCAGTGGAGTAAAGCGAACTTCAAATCATTTGGCACAATTGGCAGTTTATACTGTGGAAATAGCAATACTCTTGGCATTAAGGAACACAAACCTGAGAATGTTTTAAGTTGTTCTGACTCAGTTTCAGTATTAAATAGTTTGAGATCTATTAAATCTAATCACCAAGATATTCTCTTTAGTATCCTACAAATACATACAAGAATTGTTCAGAATGATACATCAGTCAGTTTTATATGGGTCCCCGCACACATAGGAATAAAGGGAAATGAAGAAGTGGATAAATTAGCAAAACAAGCTTTACAAAGAGAAACAATAGAGATACAAGTTCCATTAAGTAAATCAGAGATTACGGTTTTAATCTGGAGTAAAGTGATTGAAGAATGGCAAGTTAAGTGGAATGGGGAAAAGGATAGATTTCTGTACAGTTTAATAAACAAAGTAAATCAAAATATAAAGTGTATAGGTAAATCAAGGAAAGAAGAGGTTATCTATAACAGAACATTGTTAGGGCACTCAAATTTAAATAGCACACTTAAAATAATAGGGAAACATCCAAATGGGTTATGTGAACAATGTTATGTTGAAGAAACAATACCTCATGTATTTCTTGAATGTAGAAAGTACGAACAAGAAAGAGGAAAAATGATAGAAGAAATAGGGAAAAATGGAATTTAAGAATAAAATGTTACGGTTTTAATAAAATGGTCAAGTGAAATAAATAGCAATAAAAAGTATTTTTTGATTTTATTAGAGAGACGGGACTGATAAATAGAATGTAAAACTCTGTTCCACACTCCGGAGCAGAAGGTGGTGGTAATGCACCTATTTACGTTGGTTGCCGGCCACCGTTAAAAACCAAGAAGAAGAAGAAGAAGTTACGAATATCTGGCAACTCGTAAAGCGATCCATGAACATATGCGGTAGTAGGAAGTGGTGAGGAGAGAACGCCAGTGCGGGCGGTTAAAGGGGGCTGCAGGATATTTTAATATCCTTCAGAATAAATCGTCTTGATAGCACATCTCCATATATCACTGCTGTAAGTATTGCTCTGGTTATTTAGAATTATAGGTGGTATATATATATATATATATATATATATTATCCATTCTCACTGATCCATTGTCAGTCTGCTTATCTGCAAGGCCAGTCTATTAGATGCATTAAAAAAAAAAAACAGACCTGTCATGACAAGTTGGAAATGTTTGGTTCAGTAAAGTAATTAATTAAATCTAAACAAAGATTAAATGCGTTTTGCATAAGCATTACCTAAACATCTCATTTTTTTTATTAATGTCAAAGATGGGATGACTGATTAAATGTAGGCAGTTTTCCAAACTGAATAAAGGGATAGTTCACCCGTAAAAATGTTTCTTCCTTACTGTGGAAGTCAGTGGGGACCAGCAACTGTTTGGTTATCCACATTCTTCAAAATATCTTCTGTGTTAAAAAAGGGAACTCAACTGGAGGGTGAATAAATGATGACAGCTTTTCATTTTTGGCGGAACTCTTCCTTTAACCCAAGCCACATACAATTTGAATGTTAGACTGATAATGAAATATGATATCTTAAACCAGATGTTCTCAACTCTTGCTCTCAACCTTTGATCAAGGTTGGAGCTAAACTCTGCAGGAAAGTGGACCTCGGGGACCAGAGTTGAGAACCCCTGTATTAAACAGTGAGACAGTTGTTATACTTTGTTATTGGTGTAAACAGAAAGATGTCACCAGATGAATTAGTCTACCTAGGAATCCTTGCTGCATCAATACCTGTAGGATTCCTCTTCCGCTACCTAAGTAAGTCTGACCATGTTATTCTTCACATTGATGTGTGAAAAATAGGGTTAATACAGGTGAAGCTGGTTAATTTGATATTGACATTGTTTTACTTTTTATTTTCTTTTTGTAGAATGGCTCAGCCCATCACACAATGTTGTTTTGTGACAAAAAGTACAGAATATTAAATAAATACTACACTCTAAAAAATGCTGGGTTAAATACAAACCCAGCCATTGGGTTGTTTTGACCCAGCGGTTGGGTTACTACCCAGAAAGTTGGGTTAAACATTTAACCCAACCGCCGGGTAAAAACAACCCAAACGCTGGGGTTGTCCCTCTTTTACCCAGCACTGGGTTGTATTTAACCCAGCATTTTTTAGAGTGTACAGCTTGAAATCTCACTTCAAACACACATAGATAGACCCCACATAAAAACCCTGTAGATCACAGTTTTTACTGACAAATTATTTATTATTATAGTACATGGGTCAAAATGTAAATTTATGTTGGTCAAATAAATATACAAAATTACAATTAATTTATTAGCTTTCCCAGTGTACCAGTGATGCTTCATTGCTGTATGAATACATAATGCTGATTGGAGTAATGAAATAATAATGAGAAGGATGATTAAGCTTAAGTGTCCCTGTATTCACCCTATTATAAAGTCAGCACAAAATGAAAATTTAATCTGTTTCAAATGCATGTTCTAAATCTTACTGTCAATGATTCATCCTTGCATATGTTTGATTTAAAAAAATGTTTTTGACTTCATAATTTTTAATCAAAATGTCATAACTGGATCTTCCAGTGATGTAAACAGGACTTCTCCGATCACTTATTCCACTTAAACACCACCCCAAAGTAACCACCCCCCTAAAGCGAACTCACATTCATATTCCTATATTGTTAAGTGTAATGCCCACGTCTCAAAATCCAATCAACAACTGATGCATGGAACCAAGTTCCCGCCCTAATTAATTTATTTAGCGATAATCCTTTATTCTCGGATGTATGTCACAATAGAGAAGTATTCAGAATCGTGACTTTAAATAACAGCCTGTGATCATTTTCCTGTGTATTATTTCCCAGGTCCTCCAGTCAAGCAGGGGGCAGCATTGCTGTTAGGTTTGATCATCGCCATAGCAACCTGTGGGCTCCACACTCTACACTCTCTATTTACAGTGTTAGGAACATGGCTGATTATAAAGATCAACTGGCGGTTAGTATGATATATAGCTGTCTGGACATTTACATTGGATTTGGTGTGATTCCCCTGTTCGACCTTCGTCTGTTTTTTTTTTTTTTAATTTAGAAGTGCCCCTGCTCTGTCTTTGGGTTGGACGTTTCTGTACCTCTTCTTTTTCCGTCTGGTCACCTGGTTTGGCCTTCCTCAACCAACACCTTTTGCCAATGCCATTCAACTTCTTTTAACTTTGAAGGTACGAGAGAATATAATGAGACACATTTACCATGTTTTAAACTCTTGATATATATTGAATGAGTTTTGTTTTGAATGCACAGATGGTCAGTTTAGCCAATGAGATTAAAAGTTATCACTTGGAGAAGAAAAAGGAAGTGAGCACCTTCACCAAATCCCCAGTGGTGGGAGTACTTTCCCATGAGCCTTCACTTTATGACATTATATCATACAGCTACTGCTATGTGGGCATAATGACAGGTATTTTGCATGCTTTTTGTGTTGATTTGAATATGTGGGAATGCTTTTGAGTCTATTCAAATGTTCTGTGCTGTTTGTTTTGCATGAATGCTAACATGTCTCTCTCTGTTTCTCTCTGCTACTAGTTCAGTAATGTGTGAGTCCAATTTCTTTTTATAACTAATTGTGTTTATTATTGCTCCTCTTTTGCCATGATTTGTCCTCCCAAACCGTGGCTCATTTTTCATTGCAATATTCCATTTGTTTCCATCCCTATATTCCATCCTATCTTTGCCCATGTGCTTCATTTTCCATTCTTTCTCCCACCCACTCTTGCCGGTGTTCTGCAGGTCCCTTCTTCCGTTATCAGACGTATGCAGACTGGTTGCAGCAGTCCAATCCTCTGTCATTGCCAGGTAAAGAGCCCTGCCTGCAGAGCCTGAAGATGGTGCCCGTTTACGGAGCTCTCTTCATAGCCGTCAACTCCGTCTTTCCCTTGTCCTATGTCCGTACTGATGAATTCCTGGACCACAACTATTTTTACAGGTTCGTTTTTCTGGATTAAAATACCATTCCAAAGAGAGTCTAAAAATTAAATGCCAAAGGAGATGGTAAAATTAAATCATACATTATTACAATTTGTCATCATATTGAGAATCATAGTGGTATTGTATTTCAGGTTTTTCTACATGGTGGCGATTTTCTTTGTGTTCCGGATGCGTTTCTACTCTGCGTGGTGTGGGGCAGAGGCTGGCTGCATCAGTGCGGGTCTAGGCTGTTACCCCCAGGGGGCGCTGTCCAAACCTGGAGGAGGGCCAACGGTGAAATATAGGTAGGGTGTTTAACTTTATTGATAGTTATAATGTGCTTTTACAATTTGACAGTGACTTGTAAATCTGATGACTTTAAAGTCCACCTACAAATATATTTATACCAGGAAATAACAGTTATGATCTTTGAAAGGATGCAATAGAACTTTAATTAATTATCCAAGAAGAGAAATTTACTTGAAGCAGGATCCAATAAAACACAGTGTCAGAGGACAGCAGGGTCACAGTTGTGTAGTTTTAAACCACACTTGTCAAGACAAAGATAATTATTTGTAAAAGAGAATAGGAGAAATACATGCAAAAAAAGTATCACTAAATATCTATTTGCAGTACCGGGAATTTTGTAAATGTTTTTGAAAAGAACTTTTAAGCTCACCAAGGCTGCATTTATTTGTTCAAAAATGCAGTAAAAACAGTGGTATTGTGCAGTATTAATAAAATGTAAAACTGCTTTTTTCTTTGTATATATATTTTAAGAAATGTAATTGATTCCTGTGATGGAAATCAAAATTTTCAGCAGCCATTACTCCAGTCTTCAGCGTCACATGATCCTTCGGAAATCATTCAAATGGTGCTCAAAACATTATCAGAGTTGCAAACAGTTTTGTTGGTTATAAATATATGTATTTGTTAAATAGTTTTAATTTACTCTAAATTAAATATCATATTTAATAAATAAAATCGTTGCCAGAACAGTACTAAAAATTCATTTAAAGGAGACCTATTATGCCCCTTTTTACAATATGTAATATAATGTGTGCCCAGAATGTGTCTGTGAAGTTTCAGCTCAAAATACCCAACAGATTATTATATCATTTTGAAAATGCCTATTTTGAGTGGAAGCAGAAACAGGCTGTTTTCGTGCATGTCTCTTTAAATGCAAATGAGCTGCTGCTCCCCGCCCCCTTTTCCAGAATAGGGGAGTGCCTTTACAGCTTGTACCTCAGATATTCTGCCAAAAAAACATCTGTTTGGTTTTGATCATCATGTTTATCACACTGAAATCATGCGTTTTAAACCATATTAGTTTAAACTTCTGATATACCATTTTCTGTGCACATACATTCAAAGCTCGCGCACAGAAAGCGGCTGTCACAAGGCATGTGAGTACTAAACTTCTCTTTCATGTCTTATTGCGCTTAAACTGTCAAATGCACACAAGGTTATGTTAAAAATACACATGAGTTACAAAAACAGTCGGTTATGTCTGTGAAGGTAATCAGCTAGGAAAGAAATTGCATGTTTATATTAGATCTGTGTGGCAGCAGCGTAATATGCAGTAAATACATCAATAAATCCGCTGCTCTGTGTTCAGTGCTCATTAGTGCAGCTTAATACAGAACAGTTAGCATGCTTTGCTCAAACTTTAGCCATGGCGTTAGAACTGGTACACCGTTGTCTCTTGCAAAAACATAATGGTGGCACCATAGTTTGAAACTGACAGATTAAGGGGTGGTAATATTATAATAAGATCCTCTTTCTACGTCACAGGCGGAGCGAAATTTTTTTTGATTTCGATTAGATTCAACTTTATTGTCATTATGCAGAGTACAAGTACAGAGCTAATGAAATGCAGTTAGCATCTAACCAGAAGTGCAAGAATATAGTGTTTTATATACAGATAAGTGCAGAGTAAGTGAAGTAATAACTTGCAGTATGTACAGTGGAGTTGCTATATACAATATTAAGCAGAGTATGTACAAAATATAAATAGGAGTGCAATGTAGGGTTATATGTACAGTATGAACAGCAGCAATGTAAGAGTTGGTTGTGTGTACAATAGTATTGTTAAACAATGTATAGTCTATGCAAAATATCAGTAGTGCAATAATATTTTATTTATATAAATAGTTTACTGTGCTTTGTACAGTAACAACGTTAGACAGTGTACAGTGTAATAGCTTGAACAATGTACAGTCTGCGAAATCTGAGCGGCTCGTTTTTCACAAGCTTGCAGAGAAAGGCTTACCAAAAAAAAATGTACTGGGTTGTTCTTTTTCACGTTTTCTGGGTTGGTAGATGCACCGGGGACCCGTTTATAGCACTTAAACACAGAAAAATGAATGGCATGACAAATTGGTATTCATTTCAATTATTAAATGTCTTGATTTTGAGTAAGTTGAATGTGTTTAAGATTAACTTTTAGTTGGCAGCGGTAATCTAAATCTGTAAAAGCAAGGGAAATGAGCATGCACAATTAAATCAAATAGTACAGATAAAGTAAAATTAACCTCTTAATATCAGCATTAACTAATATGGTACCAATATATTGTGCACCCCTAGTGAAAATGGTAATCACAATAAAAAAGGCCATATTTCTTAAGCGTGGATCTACAAGACACTTTAGCTAGACTGTCTACAGGAAATTAGAAGCTCACGTAAGGTTTGATAATGCGGTTGATAATGTTAATGAAATGTTATTTTTGTTTCAGTCCTGATCCAGACACAGCTGTGGAGTATGACTTTAAAACGATCCAGAACATTGACTGTTATAACACAGATTTCTGTGTAAAGGTTCGGCATGGCATGCGCCACTGGAACATGACTGTGCAGTGGTGGCTTCACCACTACATCTACCCCAATGCTCCTTTCAGAGCGTATGCTCTCAGGTACAAGCATGTACATTTGACATTTCGACTGCATTGTGTTGTTACTGACCATCACTAATCTTTAACTTTCTTTGTTTTCTCTCTTTACTTATGACAGGGCTGGATGGACTATGCTAATCAGTGCTTATTGGCATGGCCTCCATTCTGGTTACTACCTCTCTTTTCTCACTATCCCACTGTGTATCGCAGCAGAATCGGCCATGGAGGCATCAGTCAGAGCCCGTCTAGGGCCGAAGGGCCAGAATATCTTCGACTGGATCCACTGGTTCCTTAAGATGAGGGCTTACGACTACATGTGCATGGGTTTTGTTCTCCTGAAGGCCAGCGACACCATCAACTACTGGAGCTCCATATACTTCATAATTCACATCATCGCTGTTGCTTGTATAGCATTAGGACAAGTGATGAAAGGAGGTAAAAAGAGAGAGAGAAGGGAAGGAGAGAAAGAGGATGTGGTAAGAGATAAGGCTGAGTGAAAAGAATGCGATGTTCATGCTGATAACCGGAGAGTTGGTATGTTTACAAAACAAAACATTTCCCAACATGCACTGTAATAGCCATCAGCTGCCATTCAAGGTATTTTGCTTTTTAAAAAACAACACAGAAGTGTAATACATGATGAACCCAAGGACATCAGTCTGTATTTTATTAACAGTGAAAATAGCTTCAAATATTTTCCATAATTATGATAATTCTAATGTTAGCATTTATTTTATTACATATGTTGAAAAGTGATTCTTTTTGTTATCTGATGATAAACAGTGCAACCATATAGATTCATTCTGACCAGGTCAGTATTGTTTAAATTGTGTTCTTTATGTGCTTTAAACAATTGGAAAGGAGGTTTGTATTGTATTTTAATAATTTTTTTTTGCTCATCAGTGACCTTGGAACTCAAATTAATCTCCCACACAGAGTACTTTTAACTGAATCCATCCATTTAAAAAAACAACTAATGAATGTTGGACCCGTATCACTACTTTGAGCACGAATTTGTGGAGATTCACTCTCTTTGTAATGGTGTCTTTGAGGTAATACAACCTTTATGATAAGGTGTATGTATTGTCATTAAAAGTTAGTCTGCCTTGTTTTTCATCCATTGTGATGGATGGATTGAGTATCCATTGATGGTTAATGTATGTGTCATATGTATCAATGTTATTATAATTCTACAAAGAATGTGAAAGTAGTTTTCACTTTTTCAGAAAGTAGTAGTGAATGTTTCTGCTATTTTGTTCATCATTCGTTTTTTTTAGTTTGATACCACATGATGTAAAGTGCAGCTTAAAATTATCAAGATAAAATTTTGCACCAATTAACATGTTACAAATATTTTCTCAAAAGAGCTCAAAGGTTTTGTTCTTACAAAATCGAATTATAATGAACAGTCCTATTTTAAGACATTCAGATTATTTTGTCCTCGTACACTGGATGGTAGCACTGGTGTTTAGTTTATTGATCCGTTCAGATTGTATCCTGGTTCCTATAATATCTACCTGCTATGTTGTGTCTCTTACTTTCTGGAGTATTAAACACAGGATTTGCCACTCCAAACTTTGAGGTTTTGTTTGAAAAAAATCACAGTATTTTAATTAAAACCACAGTGATTTTTTTTTTTTAATCCCACCCAAACTGAAATGGAGACAAAATGTGTTAACAAGTATCATCTGATTTTTACATGAAGTGACAGTTTTCATTACCTGTCTCAAACGTTTTTGTGATGGATTTTCCCCCCCTACCGTAATAGCTCACATTCTGCCTTGACTTAAACTACCATTTAAAAGTTTGCGGATTGTAGATTATTATATTTCTTATTTATTTTTTTTACAATCTTTTCTATGGTAATATGTTTTATAATTTAATTTATTATTTATAAACTTTTCAGTTTTAAGTGTCACATGATGCTTCAGAACTCATTTTAATTGACTGATTTGGTGCTCAAAAAATTGTGGTCATTTTTATTATCAATGTTGAAAAGAGTTCTGCTGCTCAATATTTTTGTGCAAATTATGATACAGTTTTTCAGGATTTTTTGATAAGTAGTTTAAAAGTATAAAATTTTGAAATAGAAATTTGTTGTAGCATTACAAATGTTTACTTTCACTTTTGATCCATTTAATGTGATCTTTTCTTTCTTAAAAATCATACTGACCCCAAACGTTTGAACGATATTGTGTACCAACTGTGTTTTCTTTCTTTCTTTTTTCTTTTCTCCGTTTTAATGAATGTTTCATAAGTTGCACTGATAGATGGAAGTTTTTATTATATAATTATCTTGTTTATTAACAGTATGTAATAGTGATAAGATTTGATAGTCTGTTAATATAGACTCATTGGCTCATGCAACAAAAAGGTTATGCCCCTTGTCTATATGACAACACTTTTTAACAGGCAATAAAGCACAAAGAGACGCTGACCAATGCTCATAACCAGCTTATAACTTTAACTCATAACTTTTTTTCCCCCAACAAATAAACTTAATTCTTCAATTATTAGTAATTACTTAGTCACAACTAATTTAGTAAATCTGTTATGAGTCCACAGAGAAAGCAAAATGCTTTAAAAATGTTAACGCAGTGTAACAGGATCTGTCAATAGATTGCAACTGACAAGACACAATTAGTCTGCCTAGCATGCAGCTAGTGATCAGCTGGTAATGAGTACAAGGAAGTGTTTCCAAAGTTAATTTCCATGAGATTCAAAATCCAGATGACACACACCTGTGTTCTTCTCCGTCGGTGGGAATTTGTCAAACTATAGCTATGCACTACTGACAGCTGCTGTTTCTGGATGGTGCTGTTTGTCTTTTAGCTTGTTTTATGTGGAATCCATGTTGATAGTCCCTGTTTTCTGATGGAGCTGAGAGAATTCAACAATCAAGTCCATTCACCTCCAGGTAAGACAGTGTGTATATGTGTGTAACAGAGAGTTAATATGATACATGTGTAAGGTTAGCTCACAATTAGTCCCAAGTATGAGATAGAGCTTTAAATATTTGTCTACATATATACACTTTTAATAGTTTGCTATATATTGCTAATATAATGCTATAAGTATACTGTATTGAGTTTGTTTCTTGCTGTAAAATGTACTAACAGTAACACTACAATGAAGTAATAACTAAACCTTTTGAATAAAATGTAAACAAATTCTGAAAATGCCTTTGCCATAAATGATAAGGTGATTCAAACTTTTTACTTCTAAAGAAATCCTATTTTATAAAATTTATTTTAGTATATTTACCAAAATATTATTTAAAAAATGTTAAATAAATAAAATGAAATTGTAAAATTCCATACATATTTTTTACACACACACGTGTGTTGTAAATTGATACTATTTTAAAAATACAGTAATTAATAATACAATTAATCATTGTTCTCTCTCTATGTAATACGGATCTAATACAGTTCTGTATGGTCTTGTGACATTTATTATACTGAATAGTGTAAATCTAACAGAAATGATATCTGTCCTTAGTTTCACCCATGTTCAGTGTGAAGTCTATGGTGTAAATATGTTATTTTAGAAGTGTTAAAGAGAACTGGCAGGGATGTGCATATATAGGTCATGGCTATGTATAGAGTGCATAGAATATTTTAAGAGCTGATGGGGAATTGCTGTTCCATTTTGTTCTCAGTCCCAGTTTTTAACACTGCCATTTCTGTACTTGACTATAATGTCTCCCAGTACAGTTAAGCTTCAGTATTATACCATCCTTGCCATGTATAATTTTATTATACCAACTTTTATAATTGTGATTGCTTTGAAATACATCTCTGAACATGCACAGACTACCCTAGTCCTCACGGTTCCCAGCATTCACTGAGGTTGCGGACAGTTCCAGCCCAAGACACAAGTGCGGTTCAGTTTGATTGGGCCTCCCCACCTGAAGATGCTGAAGACTCAAACGAACCTCGAAATCTCCGTGAGCTGCCGCTGCACATGGGTCTGAAGAAAGCAGTATGGTATACATGCCTTTTCTTTTTACATAAATTTACCAGTGTCAACTTTTACATTTTTACATTACCAACATCTAGGGATACATTTGAATTGAAGAAAAGAAAAACTATTCTTTCTGTTCTAACTTCAGCTCCCAAAAGTTTCGCTTGTTTTCACTGTCTTCTTCCAGGCAGGTGCAGCAGATGAGAGTTCCAGTTGTTTCTAGCTCTTGGAACATCAAACAATCAAAGACATTTCGCCGTTTCTGTGAGGTTGCCAAATACATTCTCAGCTATTTTGTTCTGTGGAAGAGGGGAATCCAAAGAATAGGAGGTGATGAAAATATGAATTAATGAACAAAAATGAGAAATGCTGCTCTCATTTGCATATACGTGTGTTTTTACCCCTTAAAGGCACAATATGTAAGTTTTTTTATTAAAATATCCAAAAACCACTAGAACAGTGTTATATATTTTGCTGACTTGTGTACTTACATTATCCCAAATGTTTCGAAGAATGTTTAAATCCAGAGAAATAAGCAATTTTAACTAGTGACACGGACCGTGTGAATACGTGCCCTCTAGCGGCGAAAAATTACATATTGTGCCTTTAAATGATAGGTAAATCAACTGGTCATCTGAAAAAAGACACCAAGAAAGAGATCAAATATAAGCCTAGTGGAGATGGAAGACACAAGATCATTAAAAATAAACTTAAGATGTGTTTAATTTTTTACTTCATCCACTTGTTTTTTTTTTTGTTTTTTTTGTAGGTCACTTTGGTGGAGGAGTCCAATCCTACTTCTTGTTCCTGAGATTTCTTGTGATTCTCAACTTCCTGTCCTCTTTGTTAATCGGAGCATTTGTCCTCATTCCCAGCATTGTGTTTCGCTCCATGAACTTAAACTCCACCATCGCTCACACAGTTAATCTAACAGGTAGGAACACAATCTCTCTGGTATACAACACAACACAAACTTCTCATGCTCGATTGCCTAATTTGGCTCTAATGAGAACATTCAAGCTGTTTATCAGATAACAGTATAATGGTATTCATAAAAGCAACAAGACCAGTCTGACATAGTGCTAGTTCCTTCACAGTTTAACTTCACAAACGTATATTGGATTTAAAAAAACAAAACAATAAACCCACATGATGTCATGTTTAAAAGCATTTGTTAATTTGTTTAATAATTCATTATAAGAACTAATCCTTTCAAAGAAAACCGTATTACTTTATAAATGGGTTGGCTGTTCCTATCTATCTATCCATCCATCCATCCATCCATCAGATAAGGAGATATGCTTGCAGTATGATCCAAAACCTGGTGCCCTTCTGGTGTTTTACACATACTTTCTGGACCTGGTTTCAGGAATGGTATGGGAACACATTCAGATTTTTTGAATACGTTTCTGAATGCATACTTTGATACACTACTGTTTGGGGTTGGTAAGATTTTTTTTATTGAGTTTAAAAGAGGTCCCTTATGCTCACCAAGACTGTATTTATTTTATCAAAATACAATAAAATGATAATATTGTGAAATATCATTACAATTTCGTGTTGTGGAAAAGTTAATTTATTT